ATCCCTGATTCACAGCATGTGTTGTTCTGTAGGTGGATGATGAGGATGCAGTGATGGTGGCAGCAGTGCTGGGATAGGGGACTGGGGGGTCGGAGGTGGGGAGTGGGGCGGGGACTGATGTTGATGGTGATGTTGGTGGTGATGTTGTTGGTGGTGGTGGTGGTGATGATGGTGGATCTGAGAGGCGTAGTGTGGTATGACAGGAGGGGTGGCCGGGAGGACGTAGGGGGCCGGGGACGGAGTCGGCGAGGAAGAGTAGCCTTGTGCCATACAGGAGTAGGCAGACATTCCTACTCCAGAGGAGAGCGTGGAAGTGGGGGAGCCGGGCAGGCCCTCGGCCAACGGCTGATTGTAGAAGAAGTAGGAGCACTGGTCGATGAAGCTCTCGATGATTGTCTGATAGGTGCGAGTGGCTGTCAGGGCGTCCATGGTGGTGAAATCTGGTCTCATCAGCGTGGGCCAGAAACAGATGGACAGGTTCTCACTGGTCATCAGGTTCAACTTGTTGTTCTGACTCACCCTGGTGGACAAAGAGAGGCAGTGAAGTTAAATTTAGTTCACCAGTGGATTAAACAAATCATAAAATCATTTTCACCCACCTTTGAAAAATAACAGAACAGAAAAGTGATGGCTGCAGCGTAGATATTTAAATATATTTTTTTATAATTATTTATTTTATTATTATATTTTACTTTAACCCTGATTACTCTCCCATACATAAAGAGGTTCACACGCGCTGACATTTTGACTGGGGATGAATCAGCACCATCCAGCGTGACTGTTAATCACCCACGATGACACCACTTCTATTCTTTCACCGCCACACTTTTCTGTGATATCACTGCCCAGCGGTGTAGTCAGCGCCGCTGTCGGTGGCCCGCTCTGACCCCATCACTAACTCACTTGTTCAAGTGGCTGGTGACATATTTGAAGACCTCGTAATTCTCCTTGGGGAAGCGGCGCAGAATGTCCTTCATCGTCTGAAAGCGCTGCTCTCTCTCGTTGATCTCTGGATGGGAGCAGATGGAGAGAGATGATCAGGTCAGGAGAGGTTCGGAAGAAAGGAGGCCGAAAGCAAAGATGAGAGAAGTCTGAAGGTGTCGGAAGAGTCAGAGTGGAAGAGGAGGATGTGGAAGGTTGGGGGAGACAGTGGGGGAGGGGAGTGACGGCCATTTGACTCAGCCCTCAAAAGATCAGTGCAGGACAGCGTTACTTCATCCTGCAACACAGGAGTATATAAACACACACACACGAGTACACAGGCACATACAGACATGCCACTAAAAGTAATCCATCAAACAATTTTCCAAAAGAGACCACACACACATTCCGGAGGAGAAACAAACCATCCACCCTTCACAACATCCGACAAAGTACAGCAACATGCACACAATCACTCACATGCACTGGGCGTGTTAGGTCCAGTGACAGCAAGGAGTGAGTCAGAAGAGCTGACGTCACCCACTAACACAGTCCATCCTGCGCGTGTGTGTGTGTGTGTGTGTGTAAGTAAGGTTGAGAGCAGCAGATGTTCTCCTCCACAACACCACGATGATTTACAATCAGGGAATTAGAGTTTGTATTCCCTCGATGAGGTCAGCGCAGATCCACGATGACTTCACACAGCGCCCCCTTTCCTCCTCCTGCACGGCCGTCTTCAGCAATCAAAACTGCGACTTACTTCTGAAGCCCCGGATAAATCACCGTGACATCCATCCCAAGTCATCCGCCCAAGCTCTTTCTCCTTAAACATTTCCTTTTCGTCACCTCCCAGTTTAACAACTAATGACATCACATTCATCGTCTTCAACTCCACTTCCAGACTTCCATACTGCGATCCTGAATTGAAATTCTAATTCTAATCTGGACCCTAGGCTTGAGTGTAAGCTGGTCTCGCGTTTCTGTCAAAACTTGGTTTGGCTTCAGCCCTCCGTGACCATGAAAAGGCTTAAGGTGAATAAAGGAATGCCTTCATAACAATGTGTGAGAACGCCATGGAGATCTGCCCGGACGGTGAAGGTACGGTTAATGCATTAGGTTTATAATGGAGTTGTATGGAGACATACGCTCCCATAAACACACATGGTCGATACGTGCTGTTATTCAACTTCATCAGACACGCTGCAGTAAATAAGTCTATAAAACGGACGGCGAGAGACTTCACCAACTACATGTCACCATTAACATGCACCAACACTACGAAACAACATCAACTTATCAATTATGATCATGATTAATCGTGATTACAAATATCGACCGATTGACGATGTCTAATAAAATGCATGAACTTTGTTGTAAGCGCTCAGATCAGATTTTTCTTCTTACTCTTAATCCCCACGCTAAGAAATGGCAAAGAGCCTGTCGAGTTGTCACGGCTGAAGGGTCTCAGTGTGGCTGTTAAAGACAGACACACACACACACACAGACAGTAAAGCGACGTGGCAGCCTGGGGTGGTAAATCTCTCCGGTGAATGAGCCACCTCCTAAATCTTTGTTTTGACAAATTACACAACACAAAAAATATAAGCGAGTTGGCGGTGGACGTGGGGATACCCTCATTTATCTGAAATATGACTTTTACTAGGACTCCATTAGAGCTCCATCATCCACGCTAGTCTGGCATCTCTCCATCGTGTGCAACCATGCACACGTCCTCCTGCTTAAATCATTGACTATTTTCTCCTCCTGCCTCTGACTCTTCCTCACCAGCTCACAGATGGATTTGAAATGTTAGGACTTTGTTTCTTGGCTTAAATAAAAAATAAAAAAACAAACAACGCTGACAAAATGCACTTCAGGTAAAACTCCAAGACAGCTCAGGTTTCAGGAAAAGTAAACTTCCCCGCGCCGTCGTGCCGAAGCCTCAGGACTTACTGTAGGCGTCCACCAGCTCCCCCTGCATGTTGTAGGGCACCAGAGGTTCAGGCAGCTCAGAGAAGAAGGCCTTCATGGCTCCGGCCACTGTGTTGATGGTGAAGTCTTTCTCCACCAGGTCCAGGTTGTGATCTGAAGAAAAAAAAAAAGAATATATTTGAAATGCAGATGATAATTATACATTTAATTCACATGTAAGCAGTCCATGAGAGTGAGCAGTAGCGTGAGAATACAGATGAACTCAGGTTCACATCAAAGATCCCCATGCTCCTGGGGCTGCTGAGAAATTTCCAAATAATAATCCCGCAGTTAGATTGTATCCCATCAACTGATTTGACTATGAAGTGGCTGAGAACGGATGATGAAAATATTCATCTTTAAAAATAATGACTGTTGATTATCGATTATTTTGAAGATCCAATGAAAAAGTTTGTGGTGCTTTGGCCCAGAGTCAATGTCTCTGTCATTGGTGTGGAACCCCAGGGTTCACCTTCTGGGCAAGATTGAATCCCAGTTAGGGCGGTTAGTACCTTCCAGTGGTCTCACCACCCGCAGGAAGGTTCAGGGGGGTGGTACGGTGCAGTGTGATTTGGATGGCGGTCATGGAGACTGCTGTCCCTGTGACCCGGTAACGGATAAGTGGATGAAAATGGATGAATTGAATGAAAAAGTACTTTTATACTTTTTCTCGTTCTTCTTCCCCTTGGTCACACGTGTTCCTCATCATCTTCTTTGTCTCCTTCTTGCTGCTCCCTTCAGTGGATCCTCTTCCTCCATCAAACCCTCTCCTCTGCCTCCTGTACTGTTAAACTACCTAACTCTTCTATGGCCTCGTCTTCTTCTTCTATTTTTCTCCAGAATCTTCATTATCTTCCCTCACCACGTGTCCGCAACATCTCAACCTTTAGCTAAGAGCAACATTTCTGATGAAGCGGCAGCATTAGAAAAGAAAATCTCCTGCCTCATATGTGTCAAACTCAAGGCCCAGGGGCCAAATCCGGCCCACCAAGCTGCTTTAAAAGCATTAAGTAAAATCCATGCAGCAGAGTTTCTAAACCTATGAAGTTAAAAGTTTTTTGTTTTTTTTATTACACAGCAATGAACAATATTTGTAGCTTGAATAAATATAAAAAAATATTGACAGATTATCTTTAAATAAAGAAAGTAAATTAACAAAAATGAAGTACATTTTTTCACTATGGCCCGGTACCAAATGACTTATGGACCAGTACTGATCTATACAGTCTTCCGTTTACAACCGGCCCTAACAGGGCCCTATACAGGGGAACTGTATTGCTGATGTGGCCCCCTGGTGGAAATGAGTTTGACACCCCTGTCCTAACTGAACTGATATTTACAAAGTCCTCTCAGGACACTATTTTTGAAGGAAATACTTTAAATACTGTGTATTTAGTGTATGACAGACCTCCAAGAAAAAAAATCTGAACTAATAACCAACGGCTGTTTTTTTGTTTGTAGAAGCCTAATTTCCTCATCACATTCAACACTGCAAAGAGAGCGCGTGCAGACGGGCAGAGCCTACACAGATAAGGCTGGAGAGTCCTTCGTACAGTCTGAGAGGAGACACTGAGAGTGTGAGGCTCCTTCCTCCAGTAATAACTTCTCCTAATCTTCAGGGGCTGACGAAGTGCCATCTTCTCCAGGTCCATGAGATACCTCTGCTTGTAGCGTCGCCTGTAATTGTCTCGTCCCATCGGCCGGGGGCAGACCCTCCAGATGATTCAACGCAGGGCTTCAACTCTGATTACCTG